AGTTAGCTGCCAAGCCAAGTTGGTGTTACTGATCCTTCCTGTAGAATAGATTTATGTACACCTGACTCGATCTGCATCTTTTAATGATAGTTTCCTTTCTGAATTAAGCATTAGCTAGTGTGACTGTCAAAAGCTGTACTACTTCATTAACTCAAAATTTCTATTATGCAGATCTCCTGCTTATAGATCCTATCAAGATTTATTTGTATAACATTATATCTCACCAAATGCCTCGTCAGACTTCTAATATCTGGATGATATTGGTGCAACATGATTTACAGGGTTACAACCCCAGAAATGAACAGGATTTACTGTAAGTTGAGTACAAAGGTCTAGGTAATTATTCAAATTCGTCGATAGTGAAATTTGAATTCAGACTTCTTACATAGTGGTCTGGTAACCTAACCACTACACTAAGATCACCAGACCTTTTAGACAAATATTTCTTTTAAGAAAAAAATTTAACTATTATAGTTAAATCATATCTAAGCATTTTTTGATAATCAAGTGAGTTTAGATTTGCATAGAAAAGATATTTACATAACTAGCTTTGCTTAGTTTGTGTTTTTGTTATAATATTATTATATATTTTCTCTCAAAAAATAAAAAAAAAGATTATCAAAGATAAAAAAAAAAAAAACATTTATTTTTTAAAGAAAGATTTTAACCAATTATATTATATAAAATACAGAATCAGTTTTTTAACTTAAAGAATATAGTAAAGAAAAGTTCAACTTTGAATCAAAATCTTTTTAAAATTATATTTTTAATACCCTGCAAAAATTTATAAAAAAGAAGTATTAAATGCTAAAAAATATAGATCTCATTTAAAAAAAAAAACTTTCTTTTTATTTTTTTTAAGTAAATCAAGATTAAATAAATTTTTTTCATAAATTTACATATGAAATTAAGGTAAATCAAGTTAATCAAGTTATTTGATCTATAATTAAAACATTTTGAACCCCTGTAAGGTTATATGTCCTATGCATGGTACTGAATTTTATTATGCCACATATTGAAATTATTCCGGAACTTTACCACGAAAATTTGTGGAAATATAAAGCGGAAGGAAACGAAAATATCGTTCTAACGTTCATCGGAAAGGATGAGAAATTTGTATGTTATCGAAAATATTATTGCGCTTTTGCTAGACTTAATTATGTATAAAGAAATTTAGTATTATTTATTTTCACCTATTTTTTCATATGATAGTTTGGAACAGTTCTTCGACTTCGTAAGGAAAGTATTAGTAACGAAGATGTCAGTATTGATCATGTAAATTCTTTCGAAAGTCAAGCTTATATAAAACTTTACACTTCTTCTGTCGTCGGGTCCCTTCTCGGTGACGATTATATTGGTAAATCTGTATGATATTATAAATATTTTACTATGTAAAATTAAAAGTTTATTTGTCTGTGCACGAAAATAATTTGGTTATTTATTTTACAGATATTGTTGGAGGTCCCTAAAACTTTTCTGAAGGCGTTGTCAAAAGCTATCCTTCCTATGCGCCCCAACAATCGAAGAGATAAAGATATCGATTTCAACCAACTCTATGGTATATTAACATCTGATCATACGACATTCGCTTCAGATACAAAACCTACATTATCTTTAGAGCTTAAGGTAACTTTGTTTCATACAATTCCCTTTCACTTTTTTTTCAT